GACGGCTACGTCCTGCAGCAAGGTGGGGCCTTGGCAGGGGTCGGGGGTGCCTCAGGAGGACCAGGTCCTGACAATGCTTCCCCTTCCAGGCATCGTCAAGTCACCCCTGGCAGGAGACTTCATCTCCATGCAGTGCCGGGAGCTCTTCCAGGAAATGGCCATTGACATCATCCCACCTTATATGATCGCAGCGAAGGTGGGGCCTCTGGGGAGCCTGAGCTGCCACCATACGGTCCTGGGCACTCGCCCTGTGGCCGCTGGCTCACTGGCCCACAAGATATCACAGCAGAGAGCAGCAGGGCCCCCAGAGGACCTTGGGTCTGGTTCCTCATTTTACAATCGAGGCATCAGAGATCCAGACAGACTAAGGGACATGGTCAAGGTCATGCAACCAGCTGGCAGCAGCATGTGTGAGGGCCAGTTTGGTGGGTTCTGGGGTCCAATAGACCCAGGTTCAAGTTCTGCCCCTGCCATGTAAGAGCTGTGTGACCAGCAGCAGGATGTGAAAGCTCCCTGAGCTTCAGTTTTCTCTCCTATAAAGTGGAACTAGAGCAGACAGGGCTGCTGTGAGCGTTAAGTGACACTTGCACTTAACAAGTGGCTGGGGAAAGGTGCTCACAGGCTGTGCCCCCACAGGAGCCTGTACGGGAGGGAGCCCCCCCAAACTGGAAGAAGAAGGAGAAGCTACCCCAGGTCTCCAAGTCCTGGCACAACTACATGTGCAATGTGAGGCGCTAGCGAGGGTCTCCCGAAGCCCCCCTCCCCAGCTTCTAGTCCATTGCCATGAACAGGGGGTGGGACAGAGGCCTTGCTGGTGGGGCGTGGTTGGGGGTACTCAGGAGGAATCCAGGCCCTCACCCCTCCCTGGGTTCTCAGGAGGTGATCCAGGACTTCCAGGCCTCGGTGCTGCAGGTCTCAGACTCCCCCTACGATGAGCAGTGAGTGGGTTGGGGGGTAGGGGTTGGAGGGCGGGGAAGAGGGCAGAACTGGGGCTCAGGGCGACCTCTGGCACTGCCCGCCCTCCCTGGTCCTTCTCAAGCGCCCCAGGCAAAGTCTTGCTCTCCCATGGGCAGGGTGGCCGCGCAGATGCCCACAGTGCATTATGAGATGCCCAATGGCTACAACACAGACTACGGCGCCGAGCGGCTCCGCATCCCCGAGGGCCTGTTTGATCCCTCCAATGTCAAGGTTTGGCTGGGTGGCGGGCACTGGGGTGGGTGTTGGCTGGGGTCCCTGGATCCTGGAGAGTGGAGGCCCAAAGCCCTAGTCACCTTTCTCAACAGGGCCTGTCAGGGAACACCATGTTAGGCGTGGGCCACGTGGTGACCACCAGCATCGGCATGTGTGACATCGACATTCGCCCGGTGAGGCCCGAGCCTGAGGCTGGGCAGTGGGGCCCAGGAGTAGTGGGGAGACAGGAGGGTGGGGTGGGGGTGGGGGGGCTGTTCCTGCAGGCTCACTCCTCCCTGCTCTCAGGGCCTCTATGGCAGTGTCATTGTCACTGGCGGGAACACACTGCTGCAGGGCTTCACTGACAGGCTCAATCGAGAGCTTTCGCAGAAGACTCCACCGGTAGGAGCCCAGCCTGACCTGGGCCCTGGACTCCAGTCTAAGACCTTCCTCCTTCCCACACATGGAGTGTCCTTGCCCCGAGCAGGCCCCCTGCCCCTGTGGCTTCCCAGCCTTCCCCTGGTCCCCCAGGCCCTGTCCCTCCCCGGGACCTGGGTGTCTGCTTCCCCCAACCCCTTTTCACCCACAGAGCATGCGTCTGAAGCTCATCGCCAGCAACAGCACCATGGAGCGCAAGTTCAGCCCCTGGATCGGGGGCTCCATCTTGGCCTCACTGGTGAGAGGGAGGGACCTGGTCTAGTGCTTAATGTGGGGCAGGGAAGCCCCAGACAGCCCCCACCACCTTGCCTGCCTCTTCATTTGTTCATACATTCATTCAACAAACATTTATTTTGGAGAAAAGGCAGTCCGTGTGTGTGCCCAGAAGGGTGAATGCTCCGTCAGGACACAAGGCGGGGGGCACAGGGACAGGAAGCTGGAGAGATTGGTTGGGGTGAGGTTGTGGTGAGCTGCCCTCCGAGCTCAGTCGGCAGAGGGGAGACCCTGTGGGTTTGGGGCAAGGGAGTAATGTGATGATCACAGGCATGATTGGAAGGATTGTCAGTCTTTGGGATCAGGATATGAGCTGGGGTCACAGGAACCTTGCAAGGAGGCTCTTTCTGTTGTCCTGGAGTCATAGTGTGGGTGGCAGTGGGGACGGGCTAAAAAGCAAGGGGCAACTAGAAATGAAGGCAGGCGAGTTCAGTCTGGACCTGCTGCTGGGGCAGAGGCAAGATGTTGAGCTGGGAGCTGAGTGCAAACGGCATCTAGAGGGTGCCAGCCACACAGAGGGGAACAGTGGGGTCTCGACAGACAAGCAGGACATCCACTAGAAGGGGAGCTGCCCAAGGAGACAGAAACAAGAGTCAGAAAGGTGGAGGCTGACACCCTGAAGTTAGCTCGGGGCTAACTTATTTTGGGCTTCCTCTGTGCTTGAAGCAGACAGGTGGACGAGCCTGACCCAGTCCCCCCAGTGTGAGCAGGGATAATCTAGAGCTGAGACAATTAAACAGGAAGTCACCACAAAGTGTGGGGGTGTTCCTTCAAGAGAGGGCTTGATGGAGGGGTCTTGAACGGCCTTCAAGGAGCATTGAAGCTGAGACTGGAAGAGTGAGGGCTCACGAGGCAGAGAGGAAAAGAGGGAGGTCAGGGGGTGGGGAGAGCCAGGCAGGCCCAAGGGCAAAGGGCAGGTACAGGTGGATCTGGCTTTCAGGGAGCCCACTTGGGCTGCAGAGTGGAGAGTGGATCGAAGGGGGCCAGACAGAAGGCAGGGAGAGGCTACTGTGGTCTCCACTCCTACTGGTGTAGGGCAGAGGAGTGGCTCTCAGCAGGTGGCTGGCAGAATGTGGACACCACAAACAAGAGGTAAGGACAGACAGAGTCAAAGATGAGGCCTGGGATGCCAGCTACAGCAGGGCCTAGGGCTGCTGTCCAACAGGAACATAATGTGAGCCACATATGTAATTTTAAATTTCTAGTGGCCATATTTAAAAGAGTACAAATGATAAAATAAAAAGAGTACCAAGAAACGGGCAAAATTAAGTTTTAAGAATATATTTTATGGCTGGGCATGGTGGCTCACACCTGTAATCCTAGTATTTTGGGAGGCTGAGGCAGGAGGATTGCTTGAGCCCAGGAGTTGGAGATCAGCCTGGGCAACATACCAAGACCCTGTCTGCACAAAAAATGTTAAAAAATTTAGCTGAGTGAGCGTGGTGGCCGACGCCTGTAGTCCCAGCTACTCGGCAGGCTGAGGCAGGAGGATTGCTTGAGCCCAGGAGTTTGTGGTTGTAATGAGCTATGATGACACCACTGCACTCTAGCCTGGGCAACAAAATAAGACCCCAACTCCAAAAAAAAAAGAAAAAGAATATATTTTGTTTAATCTGATATATCTAAAAATTTACCATTTCACTGTATGATCAATATAAAGAAATTATTAGTGAGCTATTTTGCATTTGTTTTTCTGTACTTAGTCATCCGAATCTGGTGTATATTTTCCACTTAGAGCACATCTCAATGTGGGCCAAGGACATTTTAAGTGCCACAGGAGGCTAGTGGCCCTTGCATTGAACAGCACAGGTGTACAGGGCAAGGAAGAGCAAGGAAGAAGCAGGTTTGGGTGAGGCTTGGCGGAAGATGGTGAACTCAGTTGTTGACATGTTGATCAGAGGTCCTGGGACACTCAGGGGGAGGTGTCCAAGAGACAGTTGGGTATGTAGTTCTGGAACAAGAGATGGGGGAAGGGAGGAGGATGGGATGGCCCAGGGAGACTGTTCTCTGAGCGGAGAAGAGAGACAGGGACGAAAGCCAGGGACAGACAGACACTACCCTTCAAGCAGAGGCAGAACAACCATCAAAGAGAAGGGACAGTCCGAGCTGCCCAGGACAGGAACCCTCAACGGGCAAGTTTTAACAGGGGTGTGTAGGAGTCAGGTGCCAGAGTGTCAGAATGATGAGGGTGGAGGAAAGAGTTTTCTTAGGGATGGGGGAGATGTGACGTGTTTGTAAGCCGTGATGACACCTGTAGGGGAGGAATGTGTGTAGGGATGTTGGGTGCTGGGTGCTGGTTGGCTGGCTGGGGGCTCTAAGAGCCGCCACCCAGCTCAGGAGCAACGCTGGGCTCAGGGCAGATGGGTGCTCAATAAACACTGGTTGAATGAATGAATTTTTGATTGAATGACACCAAGGGAGTATTCTCCCTCCGCACACGAAAGAGGAGACAGCTGGACGCAGGGGGCGGGGGGGAGGCGGCGGCGGGGCGGGGTGGGGCTGCGGAGGGACGTGGGCCCAAGGGACGGCAGAAGCCAGTCAGGGGCTCCGGAGGGGGCCGCCCTGACGGCCGATGTCGCCCCTCCACCCAGGGCACTTTCCAGCAGATGTGGATCTCCAAGCAGGAATACGAGGAGGGCGGGAAGCAGTGCGTGGAGCGGAAGTGCCCCTGAGGCGCCCCCTCCCCACACACCGGGCCTCCACAGGCGCAGATCGAACCCCCCTAACCCCCTTGTCTACATAGCCCCCTCCTCTTTCTCTCTCGTCTTCTTAAACTGTGATGTTTCTGGATTAAAAGAAGTAAAAATGTTTTAAGAAAAAAAAAAGTTTGGCGTCGTGGACTGGGCGCAGGGGAGGGAGGCAAGGGGAGGGCCACGCCTACACTCACGCTGATCCCGCAATGCACTACAGGGCACAGCCCCAGGAGCCACGGACTCTTCAGCTTCCGGAGCGGCCGCGACCCAGGGGTGACCACGCAGTGAGGACCTGACAGAGAGCCGAGCTGGGGCGGGAAGGGCTGCGGGAGGGAGGGTAACGCGGTGGGCTGGACCTGGGATGGGCGGGGCCAAGCCCGATATGGACGGGGCATGGAGGGAACGTGGGGTGGGCGGGGCCTGCACACCAGCCTCCCGTCTCAGAGGAGCAGTGCCTGAGCTCCCTAGGACCTGCAGCTCAGGTGAGCCCGGGCTGCGCTGTGCCTTCCTCCCCGGGGCTCTTGGCGGTGACAGGCATGGGGCAGGGACTGGGGCACTGGTGTGCCCCAGCATCTCAGACCTTCTTTCTGGTCCTGGGTAGGAGCCGAGGTTTTCCAGCGGAGACCCCCTGAGTCCTCCTATTCAGAATTCGTCCTGGGATCCTTGGTGGGGCTTGGGGTCCTGTGCCCCTTGGCTGAAATTGTAGGTAAAACTTAGCGGTTTGCGCCTGTGATGTATTTCTGGGGTGAGGTTACCTGGCTTTTCATTAGACCCTCAGAGGGTCCCAGCCCCAAAAGAGGTAGAAACCCATGTGATCCAAGTCCTTTGGTGACCAAAGAGGTGCTGGTGTTCAGGGAGGACCCACGCCTTGAGCAGGACTCTTTCCACCTCCTCCACTCTGACCCTGACCCACAGATCTCTGACCCCAGGACCCCCATCCTGGACACTCACTGGTCCTGCCTGGCCATGTGTTCCCACCCATGACCGTCCCTCCCAAGCAGCCATTGAGGGTCTGAGACCTGCCTTTCTGCCTGATTCCAGAGACAGACATCCACATGGCCAGACTAAACCCCCAAGTCACACCACTGTGGCGCCTCCAGCTTAGGATCCCACTGGGGCAGGCGTCAGGGCAGGGAGGACAGCCAATGTGTTACAGGGCCTGGGTACTGGGACCTGCAGCCAGATGAGGGGCAGATGTCCATAGTGAACCCCCAAGTGTGGGGGGCTTAGGAAGGGTCCCCAAGGACACAGGGAGGAGTGGAAGCAGGATAGGGGAGGGGGCATCCATATCTCCACCCTCCCCCACCAACGGGCCCCCTCCCCCACCCCTGACGGGAACTAGAGGACAAAGTCTGCCTCAAGGTCAAAAAATTGATTGTTTTGCAGAGAGGGGGCAGGAGTGAGGCTGTGGAGGGATTGGCAGGGGAGGGCACAGCCCCTTGTGCTCTGGCCTGGGCTGGGGGGCCACGTCTGGAAGGCTGGACTGAGGCCAGGCCTGTGCCCCCACCCTTGGGGGGGAGCAGCTTGGGCTCAGGCTGCCTGCCAGGACTGATAAGGGGCCCTCCTGGGGTTCCCACAAACGGTTTATCACTGGGGGGTGGGGGGGACAGCCCGCAGGGTTCAGGAAGGGGCACGACCATGGATCGGCTTTGGGGTCTACTCCAGAGAGCGGTAAGACTGGTGGGGTTGGGGGACACCTTAGGCCTTCTCTCCAGGTCCCTCAGCCCCTCCCAAGACCCTCAGGCTCGCTCCTCCTGGCCAGTTTCCTGGCCTCCCCTCTCCTCGCCTCTGTCCCTCCCTTCTAGCTGCCTCTCAGCCCCTCCCCACCCCACCCTGTGCTCATGTGGCACCCCAAAGTCACTGCCCCATTATTGCCAGATTCCTCCCCATCCTCCAGGCCCCTTCCCCCAATCTCATGCCCACCCTGCCCTCTATAGCAACAGCTGTCCCCACGACCCTCTCAGAATATCTATAAGCGTGTGGAAGGCCCCCAGCAGGGGCGCCTGGAGGAGGAAGAGGAAGACGGGGAGGAGGGGGCCGAGCCGCTGGCCCACTTCTGCCCCATGGAGCTGAGGGGCCCTGAGCCCCTAGGCTCTAGACCTGGGCGGCAAAACCTCATACCCTGGGCAGCAGCAGGACGAAGGGCTGCTCCCTACCTGGTCCTGACGGCCCTACTGATCTTCACTGGGGGTGAGTCATCCCCTGCCCCGCAGTGAAGGGCTTGGGCTGGGGGGAGATTTCTGGGGCTCAGAGGACCGCACAAGGACAGCCCCATCTTGCCACCCACCAGCCTTCCTTCTGGGATACGTGGCCTTCCGAGGGTCCTGCCAGGCATGTGGGGACTCCTTATTGGTGGTCAGCGAGGATGTCAACTATGAGCCGGCCCCAGGCTCCCAACAGGGCACGTTGTACTGGAGCGACCTCCAGGCCATGTTCCTGCGGCTCCTGGGGGAGGGGCGCCTGGAGGACGCCATCAGGTAGGGATCAGCCTGCGCCCTTCCCAGCCCCAAGTGCTCTCCCCTCATCTGCCCAGACGGGGCCTCCCTTCCTCCTCGCCCAAGTTGCTGGTGTCTGGGTCCCCCTCTTGACTCCTTCCACTTGCCTCCCTGTCTTCCCTGTTCAGGGGTCCTGGGAAGGACGGCAGGCATCTGGAACCTAGATTCCAGGGGGCTCAGGCTCTGGGGGTGGCGTATTTGGGAGATGAGGGAGCTGACTAAGAACAGAGGGGTCCAGCAGCCAACATGACGCAGGACAGACCCAAAGAAGTTTTGAATGCTGTACCCTGGATTTAGATTTGTGGCAGCAGGGAGCTCTGGGGGGTTCTGGGAAGGGGCATCTAGGGAATTGTAAAAACAAGCAAGCACATGCATTTGTGGGCACAGCCCCCCATCTACATCACGGTGGATGCCAGACACACGCTGGCCTGTGTCCTTCATCCTGCTGCGGTCACCTTCCCCTACTGGAGAGAAGCTGCCCAGACAGGTCCAGAAGATAGGTCCGCCCATAGCCCTCTTTCGGGCCAGGAGTAGTTTTTCAGTATCTCCTGGGTTTTCGAAGTAGATAATCAGCTAAATTGCAGATAGTACAAGATGCACATTCTCTTTTCCAATGCTTGTACCTTTTATGTTTTTTTCATTTCTTTCTGCATTTGAGAGGACATGAATTTAGGTAACAGTGACAGTAGATATCCTTGCCTATTTCCTGACTTTAATAGGAATGTTTTTTATAATACTTTGTCATTGAGTATGAACTTTGCTGCAGACTCCAGACAGCTTTTTAAAGGTTGAATTAAGGAAGTTTCTTTCTATTTATTCCTAGCTCGGTGAGGTTTTTTTTTTTTTTTAATGATCAGGAAAGGAAGAACAGATAGAGATTTTTTTCAAATATTTTTCCAGAATGTACTGAAATGGTCTTTAATGTTTACATAGCAATTTGTATGAATAGATCTCCTTATCTTCATGAGCTCAAAGCTAAACTTGATCAAGGTGTACTATTACTCTTTTGATACACTGCTGGGTCTGCTAAAAAGACCTGAAATCTGTGGAATCAACAATGTTCAGGGAATTTTTATTTTCTTGATCAGCACTTGATTGTCTGGGTACAGGCTGAGCAGGTGGATGGTTTGATAGGTCTAAGGGTGGGGTGCAGCACTGTGGGTGCCATCGCGGGGCAGGAAGGCAAGAGGGAACCAGTCGGGGGAGACAGTATTGAACTGAAGCCTAGTTCTAGGTGCATGGGGAGGGAAGAAAAGCCAGGGAGGAACTGACAGACTTGGGGATTGGGCCAGGTGCAGTGGCATGCGCCTGTAGTCCCAGCTACTTGCCAGGCTGAGGCAGGAGGGTCACTTAAGCCCAGGAGTTCGAGGCTGCAGTGAGCTCTGACAGCGCCTGGCCAGCTATAGCTATCTTTAGTGTGTGTTTTTAATTTAGATAATTTTTTAAAACTTAGCCTAGTGTGTTAAAGATCTATCTATATTGTGGTGTGTACATCTAGTTGATTGTTCCTGTTGCTGCGCAGGACATCACAGCGTGCATCACCATATTTTACATCCCCACTGGTCAGGTGCAATTTCAAACAAACACTCGAACTCCTGGGAGCTCAATGAGTGTGGACAAGTGACCGACTGGTTAGATGATAACAACAGTGAGGAGGGAAAGGGGACGGGAGAGCCAGGTAGACGGAGCTTCAAAGGAAGAGAGTTTACCCTGAGAAGAAATGATCAGAGGCCGGATACGGTGGCTCATGCTGTAATCCTAGCACTTTGGGAGGCCGAGGAGGAAGGATCACTTGACTCAGGAGTTCTACACCAGCCTGAGCAACAGCAAGACCCATCTCTACTAAGAATAGAAAAAATTAGCCAAGCCTTGTGGCACACACCTGTAGTCCCAGCTACTCGGGAGGCTGAGGCAGGAGGATCACTTCTGCCCAGGAATTTGAGGTTGCTGTGAGCTATGAGGACGCCACTGCACTGTAGCCTGGATGACAGAGTGAGACTGTGAAAAAAAAAAAAAAGAAAGAAAGAAAGGAAAGAAATGGTCAGAAATTAGAAAAATAGAGCCAGGAGCTCACCTCCACTCCCAGGTCCAGGGGATGAGAGCCTGAGCTGCCCTCTCTGAAGAGTCCCACAGGAGACTTGGTCTCTCCAGGAGAGCCAGGTTTTGGCCAAGGCAAGACGTAGAAGGGGTCTTCTGTAACCATGACTGAGGAGGGGAGTTTGCTTGCCATGGAAAGGGCACAGGTGGACCTGGGTGACAGGGAGGCCATGCAGGAACAGTCCATAGAAAGACGTGAGATGGAAGAACGGGGAGAATTCAGGTGACAACCCTCCGGTTGGGTGGTGACTATGGAAGAAGACAGGGTGAGGTCTCCAATGAGACAAGTGATCCCATGACTTTACCTGGAACCTTGGTGTAAAATGTCTCCATGCGGCCTGAGTGGGGTTTGGGGGAGATGGAGGATCTGCTGCCTCTGCCCAGTTGGCCCTTTAGAAGAAAAGTGTTTTCAAGCCTGGGGCAAAGCAGAGAGAGAGAGAGAGAGAGAGAGAGAGAGAGAGAGAGAGAGAGAGTACGCGCGTGCCTGTGTGTAAGGGGAAGTACATGGATGGGTGCGTTTGGCCTGAGCTAGGAAGAACCTAAGGGATCGTGGACAGGACCCCTAGCTGTGGGAAGCAAAGATTTTAAGCCCCAGGAGGTGCTGGAGACCCTGGGCTTTGCCCGGGCAGTGATGGGAGAGACCGGTGGCAGGGAGAGCTTTTCCCTAAACTTAGGAGCCCCTCCCCGCCCCTGCCGTGGGGCGACCCCGCGTCTCTGGCACCCTTCCCCCATCCCTCCCCTCTGGACGCCCAGAAGCCCCAGCACCTCTCCCCTCCCGGGCCCCAATCCCACCTCTTCCCACTCAGGCAAACCAGCCTCCGGGAGCGGGTGGCCGGCTCGGCCGGGATGGCCGCCCTGACTCAGGACATCCGTGCGGCGCTCTCCCGCCAGAAATTGGACCACGTGTGGGCGGACACGCACTACGTGGGGCTGCAGTTCCCCGACCCGTGAGTGCGTGGGCGGCGGGAGGCGTGCGGCGGGGGCGCAGGCGGGGGGCGCGCTCACCACCACCCCTCCGCAGGGCTCACCCCAACACCCTGCACTGGGTCGATGCGGCCGGGAAGGCTGGGGAGCAGCTGCCGCTGGAGGACCCCGACGCCTACTGTCCCTACAGCGCCACGGGCAACGCCACGGTGAGCGCCTCCTACCCGCGCCCAGGATGGGGGGCAGCGCGCGTCCTTTCCCGGGTCCTGGGATGCACCTCACGGTCCCTCACGTCCCCAGGGAGAGCTGGTGTACGCCCACTACGGGCGGCCGGAGGACCTGCAGGACCTGCGGGCCAGGGGCGTGGAGCCGGCGGGCTGCCTCCTGCTGGTGCGCGTGGGGGTGACCAGCTTTGCCCAGAAGGTGAGGGTCCCTGGGGCCGGAAGGGCGCGGGCTGGGGAACCGGAGGGTCGGACTGCCAATGGGAAGCGTTTGGGGGGCTGTCAGAAGGAGAAAGGGAAGAACCAACTGGACAGTAAGAAAATGTTGGCCAGGAACAAAATCAGGAGGTTGGGGGAAAATAGATGGGATAGGGAACAGAAACACGGGGGACAGTGGGGGCCGGGTGAGGGGGGGTTGAGGGCTGCCAAGGCACTGCCTAGGGTGGTGCTGTGGCACAGCCTCTCTGCCAGATGGACAGTGTCGGATCGAAAGCCTTGCCATTTCACTTTTCCTGGTTTCTCCTGCCCTTACAAATCATTTTCTCCTGGGAGAAGGAGTCCTGTATTCACCTGCCTCCCCCAGGTGGCCAGTGCCCAGGAATTTGGAGCCCGAGGAGTGCTCATATACCCCGACCCAGAAGACTTTTCTCAAGGCCCACACAAGCCAGGCCTGTCCAGCCACCAGGCTGTGTATGGACATGTGAGTCTGGGGGAAGCCAGCAATGCCTTCCCTGGGGGCCCAAGCCCAGGCCACAGCTTCACGGTGGGCACCCCTTTCCCACAGGTGCACCTGGGAACTGGGGACCCCTACACGCCTGGCTTTCCTTCCTTCAATCAAACCCAGTTCCCTCCAGTTGAATCCTCTGGCCTCCCCAGCATCCCAGCCCAGCCCATCAGTGCAGACATTGCCTCCCGCCTGCTGAGGTGAGGGGAATGTGGGGACCAGGCCGGAGGAGGAGGCAGAGGGAGGGTGAACTAGAAAAAGGCAACCCTTCTGGGCAGGCAGTCTCTTGCCAGGGCTCACTGTTCAGAGTTCCTGGGCATCCTTGAGCAGGACACAACCGGCACAACTGTACAGGGCAGCCCTGGCTGCAGTTCCCCCCTAGGCAGGGTCCAGAGGCAGAGATCTGGAGCCAGAGGGTGCTTTGGGTTCTTCTGTAGCCTGGGCCTCTCTGCCACTTCCAACCCTTTCTGCCTTACTCTGCTCCAGGAAGCTCAAAGGCCCTGTAGCCCCCCAGGAATGGCAGGGGCGCCTCCCAGGCTCCCCTTATCGCCTGGGCCCAGGGCCAGGCCTGCAGCTAGGGGTCAACAACCACAGGGCCTCTACCCCCATCAGCAACATCTTTGGCTGCATCGAGGGCTTCTCAGAGCCAGGTATGCTTGCTGCCCAGTGTCACTCACAGCTTGTGGGAGGAGAGCCTCTGCTCACAAACTGTGGCAAGAGAGGGGGCAGGAGTGGAGCCCAGAGGAGGGAGGCTGGCAACTTGAGGCTGAGTGGGGACTGATGGGGTGATGGCGAGGAGACCTCCTGTTCCGGCCTGTCCAGGGCTGGAATGTGCAGTGTTGCACAGTGAGTTCCCAGCTGGAGAGCAGAGCATGAAAGCGCAGTGGGAACAGTGTGGTCCCGACAAGCCCTCAGATCAGCACTAAGGGACAGGTGCAGAGAGGCCTGTGGTGGGGCTCAGGTGAGGACACTGATGGTGAGAGTCGCAGGTGGGGGAAGGGCTGGAGAGAGATTTAAACGGGAAAACCTGTCAGGACCTGGTGACCAGTGGGGACATGACCGACCAGAGAGGGAATGAAGTCCAGAATGACCCCAGGCACCCTGCTGAAGGAGCAGGCCATCCTGGGAGGGACAAGGGGAGAAGGGGCACTCTCTCTAGGGACGGCAGGGGTTGTAGGGCTGGATTGCTGAGATATGAGGGGCTGGGGCAGGGAGGCTCAGCCTGAGAGGTGGGAGTGAGGCCCTGGGAGCAGTCGCCCTCCCAGGTGCAGGGGAAGACTGTCGGGCCTGCCGGTGTAAAAGGTGGGCCGCAAACATTCCCTCCCCAGATCACTATGTTGTCATCGGGGCCCAGAGGGATGCGTGGGGCCCAGGGGCAGCCAAGTCTGCTGTGGGGACTGCCATACTGCTGGAGCTGGTGCGGACCTTTTCCTCCATGGTGAGCAACGGTAAGGTCATGGCCTGCGCCGGGCAGAGCTGGCACTGTGGCCCGAGCCAGGACTGGGGCAGAGAGGCAGTCACTGCGCTCCAAACCTGGCTCCTCCACATCCTAGCTGTGGGGCCCCGGGCAAGTCACTGCACCTCTATTTCCTCATCTAAAACTGAAAGTAATAATAATCCACGGCTCTGAGCGGAGATTAAGCAGGAGATTCTACATGCAAAGCCATCTCCATCACTGTTACAGTTGAGTCGGGGTGAGACAGGCTGGGATTGTTTTTTTGTTGTTTTTTTCCTGAGACAGAGTCTAGCTCTGTTGCCCAGG